TGTACTATATAGCTAATAGCTATATTATGTTATATGATACGAAAATATTTATATTTCATTTAAATAACCTCAGCATTTGTTGAAACAATTTTAGCCCAAGTAAAAAAAATATTTGCCCCACTCTGCCCCCCCTGGAAAAAAATTCTAGTGCCGTGCCTGGCAGACAGCCAGTAAATAGTTCCGGTATTAACATCAATGCTGTTCATTAAATGTTTTCAGATCTACCGGGAGTTTTTTTGGCTTCACATTTTGTATCTTAGCCCGAGTTTTATAAAGATAAAACTCTCGATAACCATTGCGACCCCCTGACATTTGCCTCTTGTACATGCTTTCGAGGCCACTGATTAACTGCTCTTTTCAAGTCCTTTATATCTTAGTCCGTGGTATTAGTTATAAGATTTTAATCGATTTCTGAATTTCGTCATCATTAAAAATATGAATTGACAACGTAGCTCAAAAAATCGTTCGAATTTTAGACATAAATCTAATTTCTTTCTTCAGACTATATCTTTAATCTGCAAAAATCGTTCGCAATCATGCTATCAAAAAGGGAAAACATAATTACGTAACTGCCTAAAGCTAAATTATATTATGTCAAGTTGTATCATTGAGTAATATTTAGAGGCCGTTTCCAATATGGTTTCAATTTTTCAGTGAGATTACTTTTATTGGAAAATATTGTAGAAGTACCTACGATATGTTACGTCCAGACGTCCTGTACTGTAATATGCAAAAATGAATAATTCATTATGCAAATGCTATAAAGTAATACTCTATATTATTACTAGGGCCCGGAACTTGATGCATTTGCATTTTTTTTTTCTTTTACTCTAAAATGTTGATTACCACTACACAAATTTGATTCATTGGTTATAGAATCTAATGGTACAATTTGTATTTTGCATTTTTTGCATTTTCATGGAATTTCAAGCTTTAGGGTCACTTTTTAGGATTTTTGGTGCATTTTATTAATTTTTGTTACATAGATTATAATTTTTCTTGTTAAAAGTTACACAACCTATTTATTGTAATATATTTGGTTTCGATTACCTAGCTTGTCACACTCTACCACTATTCATAAACTGTAGGCAGATTATAGCTATAGGTACGTAATTTGTCACCTATCGGTTAGCGGCTTATCGCAAACGACGCAATACCATGTTTGACATAATTTCATATTTGAGTAATATTCGTAGTATATTTGACTGCATTGTTATTAGTTCGTTAGCGTCTGCTGTAAAGAGTATATATTTATGTATAGTTATAATTGTATGTTGTGTCTTTTTGAAAAAATACCTAAAATAAATCAACAAATAAAGCACGTTTACTAGCATTTATTGATGGATTTGGAAAATATATTTTTACCACTAATGGGACAGTTTTGTTTTGTAAAACTTGTGAAGTGAAGGTTGCTGCAGACAGAAAATTTACCGTTGAACAACACGTGTCTCGCATTAAACATATAAATGTGCTGGAAAAAAAATACAAATGAAGTACAAAATTCAAATAAGATCCAACATTTGATTACTGACCCATCTATTAACTATCTATTAACTTCGATTTATGTCATACTTTAATATCTGCGAATATACCTCTATACAAATTACAAAATTATGTATTTAAATTGTTTTTGGCAAAATAAACAAATAAAAATATCCCCGATAAATAAGAAAAGGTTGAGTTAATGCTATGAAGTGATTATTCAAAAAATTAGAATACCTATATGTAGAAAATAAAAATATTTGGGTGTCTGTTGACCAATCTACAGACGCAGAAGGTCGTTATGTTTGAAATGTTGTCATAGGGACATGGAATTAAATTATTTAGGAAAACAATTTCTTATTCAGTTATTCACACCGATGTTCTAGAAAAAGTCAACCATAACACTATTTAAAAACTTTTTGTTATAGCACTTCACATTATTTTGCCAAATGGAATCTAACATGACAACTTATTGCTTTTTTTAAGTGACCACCATATATGGGGAAATGTATTAAAGTATTTTATTCTAAAATGTTGCATGTAACATGTACTACATAGAGTAGTGGAGGAAATTAGGAAATATTTTTCAAAAATTGATCAACTCATTTCGAATGGGAGATAAAAATACTTATTTTTAAAGGCCCCTTCAAGAGTAAATATTTTTAAAGAAATTGCACCTACTACATCATTTCCACCACAACCAATACTTACTAGATGATAAACATGACGAAGTACAGCATTTTATTACTGCGAACATTTTGATACTAAAAATCTCGTCAGAAAATTAGTTAAAAATGACGCATTATCGATTGAAAGGGTGTTAGATTTACTATTTGATTCAGAGCTACAGTTAAATTTAATTTATATAAAATCAAATTTCGGAACTTTACCAGAATCATCAACTAAATTGGAGTCATCTAAAATTAGTTTAGCGGATTCTCTAAAAATTATAGACACTGAAAAAAATAATATTGAACAGGTTCCCAATAATATTGGTCGGTAGGTAGAGAGAAGTTTTTAAAATCTACAAATCACTGCTGTCGGGTAATCGCAGTTCATTTTTGTTCGAGAATATTAAGAAAACTTTAATTGTACAGTGTATCAATAAAATTTTGAAGGTTAAGTAAACATATTAAAAATTTTTAGGTACATAAAAATGTTCACTTTAATTAAATTAGAATGTTTTTTTTGTTACAGAGTAGTTTAAAAATAATAAAATCAGCAAAAATATAAATTTCATGAGAAGTATAGTGTATACTAACATTTTTATAATTGTTTGAATTTTTTTTATATATTTTTAGATCATCAAGTTCCGGGCCTTTCAATAATACCATAATACTCCAAATTACACTACTTATGGAAATAAGGTCTATGCAGGTAGGTAGGTACTTTCGTACCACAATATATTTTTTCCAATTAATTATGTACCCTGTAAAATATAAACCATTTTCGCTTCAATTTACTGGTGGAACGGCCTCTCTATATTACTCAATATGTTATAAACTTGAACAGTAAACATGTTATGTAATAAATATGTATATACCGCATGAAAAAATGATAAGTTTACAGAAAAGAAACCACATGCTGAAACTTTAAGTTCCTTGTTCATAATTTGGTATGTAAATGAATTGATCTGAAAAATATAAATGATTTTCAATATTATAAGACGGTAATATACTATAATATTATTAATTGTATAAACCATATATTTTTCACAGAGTGATTTTTCATTGTTGTAAAAAACTCGCTATATAACGATAATGATCAACTACAACACTAACAACACGTGGGAGACTACTAGTGCTGTTTACAGCCATCGCCAATACTATACCATGTCTACATCTACACGAGTCCTAGCAATCGGCGCCACCAATAAATCGCCTGCCGAGGAATCCATGATTTGCATAATCAATGATAAATTATATTAAACATTCCCTTAATAAAGAAAATATTAAAAATCAACCGCTTCTGATGTCTTTCCCAGTTCACCTTCAGAAATAATATTCATTATTAATAAATTACCCAAGAAAAAAGCTCTATAACACGATATTATGTTAACCAACCGTTTCAAACTATCAAACAATTCAATAATATTCCTAACTCATGCATACAATGCTTCTTTGAGACTTTCGCATAACCTACAGTCTAGAAGTAATCTACTATAAACCCAATTCTAAAACCAAACAAACGCCCAACACACTACACATCATATCGCCCTATTAGTATACTCCCAACTTTCCAAAATTCTAGAAAACATCATTCTTAAAAGAATCAATCTAATTCTCAATGTCCAAATAATATTATTCCTAAAACACAATTTGGTTTAAAATATATACATTCAACCACTCACCAACTGCACCGATTTGTCTATGTCATTGCATCATCCATGCAAAAAAACATTAATGCACAGGAGTTTTTCTAGACGTGGCTCATACATTCAACCACGTGGCACCCTGGTACTCTACGAACTTGTGTTTTTACCAACTCCCTATTAATTAATAATTCAATCCTTCTTTATCCAATCGTTTTTTCAAAGTCTCATGTGACGACGCTTTTTCTGAATATAATTAAATCAATGCCAGAGTACCTCAAGGAAGTAACTTCGCATGAACTCTATACAACATCTACACCTTATATCCCACATAACGACGCCACAAATCGTGGAACTTTTGCAGATGATACGGGTATAATTGATTCTGATAAAAATCCGGACACAGCATCTTTTCACCACCAGCATCATCATCTTAATGAATCACAAAGTTGGTTTCTAAAGTGGAAAATAAAAATAAATGAATTGAAATCGTCTCACTCAACTTTTTATTACATACCCATATTGCCCTTTAGTCTTTACATCAACAATTGAGAAATATCACCGACTCAGTCAGTAAAATATCTAGGAATGTACCTAGATAGATGCCTCACATGGACAAATCATAAAACAAAAAGAAAATCAGTTAACCAGAGACTATACTAACAAGGACCCTGATTAAAATTAAACCTACCTACCTGTTGAATAAAAAATACTAATTTATAAACTGACTCTTTTTCCCTTGGCTTCTTATGGAATTCACTTCTTGGGCGTTGCCAAAAACTCTGAAAACAAAAATAATCATACAGGCATTCCAATCAATGTCTCTCAAAATAATAACCCATTTCCCATGGTACGTAAATAACCAATCCCTATAAAATGACCTAAAATGTATGACCATCCCTCATCAAGCCTCTAAATTATATAAAATATTCTACATAAAATTACAACCCCACTTAAATCCTCTCATATCATTCTTCTCCTCCCTGACACGTCACATAGACAAAAAAAAAATGGCCCAGAGACCTGTTATTCTAAAAAAAAAAACTAAAGAACAAAGTCTACAGTTTTCTATAATAACCGAAATAAGTTAAAAAAAAAAAAAAAATTATAATACAAAAAAGTTTTTATTTTTATTATCATATAACTGAAAAAAAGTAAAATAATTACTATATAAATTAAATTTCCAGTGAGCATTTTCATCAATGTTTTAAAATTCGTTATGGTTTTGAACAAACAAAAATTGTTCATCCAACTCAGTCAACTCAGGTTGTGGACCAATAAAATTAGAAAATCCATAATGAGCGAAACAATTCCTAATAGTTGAGCAGCTAACTTCTCGCCAACTCTCGGATACAAACTGTATCGCTTGCAATACGTTTATTATGCCACTAATTTGATTAGCAGTTGCAGATGGATCAAACAGGTTTTCCTCAATCTTTTCTAGAAAAAATGAACTAGTTTCATTCTGTATCTCACCTTGAGGTTTTTGATAATATCCATATCTAAGGGTTGGATAAATGGCATAATGATTTTTATTACTTTCAATAAACACAATCTCATAGATATGACGAAATCCGATTAAATTAGTCGTTTTTAAATACATATGTGTATATTCTAACGCTATGATAAAATAAAATTGCCCACATAAACCGAATCGAGTGCCCATATTACGCGGTTAGATTTAACATTGTTAATATACATTTGTATTGGGACCAGGCCAGTTTGCCCACAATAAGCGGATGCCCATATTAACCGGTGCCCACAATAAGCGGATTCCACTGTATCATCACGATCTGTTATAACTTGTTTATACATTATAATGTTGATTTCAGTATTTTACTTATTATATTCCTACTTCAACTAGTAGGTACCTAGGTACCCATTAATGCACCTATTAACTTATAAGTTATTTCGATTAACTTTCATTCAACATTTGAAATGTTAGCCTCCACTCTATACAAACATATGCAAAATAAAGTGTTTATAGACTGATAATAGAAAGGTACTTACTAACATAATAGTCGAAATATCTAAATTGTTGTTTTTCAGTATAGTTCTCAATGATATTAGAACTGAATTGACGGCCTGTTGAATAAAAAGATTACTGATATTTTGTTATGTAATTATATTCCAAAATAAGCAGAGATACCTAATATAATTAACATATCTTTACTTTTGTTGTAAAAAAACGAAAAGTGTGAATTAGAAATTACTGCTTATAATAATTCATTGTGTGGTGAATGACGATCGTGGAGCTCATAAAAAAACATTTTGACAAGAAAGGTGACCCCGAGACAATTTCAAACTAGACCTATCGCACTCTGTCGCACCCTATACAAACTTTACACGGGCTGCCTGGCCAACGGGTCACGCAGTGGCTGATCACCAACGAAGTGCTGAGTTCGTGCCAAAAGGTCTTCTTGCCAGCGGATGGAGCATTTGAACATGTTTACACCCTAAAACGCCGACTTGAGATCGCCCGCACCCAGAAGGGCGAATGCTGCGTCGCTTGGCTGGACGTTTCTAACGCGTTCGGTGAAGTACCACATGATGCGTTACTCACGGCCATGAAGAACAGCGGTGCAGGCGATGGCTTACGCCAGATTAATATGGATATGTATTCAGGTGCGACTCCATATCCAGGTTAGGTATTCAGGTGCGACTTCTGAAGTAGTAACGGCGGGTGGAATTACCAGCGAGATACCTGTCAGGTCCAGTATTAGACAAGGGTGTCCCCTCAGTGGCCTATTGTTCATCCTAGCCATTGATCCCGTAGTTAGGAGGATGGATAGAGGAGCACAGAGTGCTGGCATTTGCGGATGACGTATACCTAATTGAGGAAAGAGCCACCGACCTTCAGGCCAAAATTGAAACCGCCAGCCATGAACTGCGCAGTCTTGGGTTGAAAATAAACACGGGCAAGTGCGCCTCTCTCCACATGTCCGGCAAGACACCTGTCGGAGTAAGACCCTCCACTGTAAAGATTGGGGACCACGAGATAAAGCCACTCCAGGAAGGTGAGGCCGCAACCTTCCTAGGAGCCCAAGTAGGTTTCAATATCATCCCCCACATGTCGACTCTTGAGCATATTATAAGCATCTGGCTTTCCATCATGAGGAGCAAGCTGACGCCTTGGCAGCGCCTGGATGCGCTGAAAACGTTCTTTTTCCCGTCGACGGTGCACTTGATGAGAATGGGAACGTTTCAAAAGACAGCCTGGGAGAGGATCGACAGAATCTTGAGACCAGAGATAAAAGCCACGTTATACGTCCCCCAGGAAGCCTCGGGTGAGTACCTAATGGCAGTACTGGCAGCGGGTGCTGTGGGATTAGGGTACTTGCTAAAGAATCTGACATAGCGGTAGTCGACAGCGCCTTCAAGCTATTAACCTCACCAGACACGCGAGTAGCCACTGAAGCAAGTTCTCACGTAACATCAGCAACAGAGCGCCGGATAGGAAGAACTCCGTCAACGGATGAGGTCGGGATCTACCTGTCTGGTGAGGAAGAAGGTCCCTTTAGCGCCACAAGAGGAACAGGTATCAGAGGGATATGGTTCCGTGTGAGGATGGCTTCCAAACGCACCTGAGTTGTATGGAAGCTATCAAATGACACCGTGAGCATCACACACCAGGATTCTGTCCTCAAGCCTAAGAATAGGCGATCAATGATGCGTACGATGCGCAACAAGAAGTGCTGACTTGATTGCAAAACCTGACCAAGGAAAGGCTATAGAGTGCGTCGCAGCCCACCCCGCATCATTTCACTTCCTGAAAAACAGCGATTACACCAGATTCTCCGACTGGAGGTTCATCCACCGAGCCAGGCTGAATCTAGTACCGCTAAATGGCTCTAGCTCCTGGAGGTCCGGAGACCGCCGGTGTTGACGATGTGGCTACATTACTGAAAGCCTTGCTCACGTTGTCGATCACTGCATGCGGTACTCCGGCCTCTATTTAGCCACACACAATTCAGTTGTCGCAAGGATTAGGAATGCAGCGGCTAACAAGTGCGAAGTCTTAGCCGAAAACCAGGTCTGTGGCAGCAACGGCCTTCGTCCCGACCTGGTAATCAGAAAAAATAACAGGGTTTTCATAATAAATGTAACCATTCCCTTTGATAACCACATTGCCGCCCTCGATTCCGCCGCCAGGGAAAGGACGAAGCGTTACAAAGCCCTTAGCGAGGAGCTCTCCAGCATCCATGGTTCTGACTCAGAAGTATTACCATTCGTCCACTGGGCTCTTGGTACCCCAAAAATGATGAACTACTCAGGAACATCTGCAGCCCCAGTGTAACTCGATCTCGTTTTTGTTGTATTACTGTTTAAATTGTTTGATGTCTATGTGGTTGCATGCGTATCGCCCGTTTGCGCCGTGTTAAAACTCTCAGTTTGTGCCTCTCGCAGTTCCCTCCCCTGAACCTGGTTTACCGCCTTTGCGCTAGGCCAGTTGCCGTCTGTCAGTGGAACGGGACATAGCTCGTGAGGCTACTGTCAAAAACGAAGGGTAAATACGGCTATCTGTCAAAAGCGGCCTCACGTCTCTACCATATTATTTTCTGCGTCCAAAAACATAAACGTTCGGTGTACTAATGTTTTCGCCGTCCGCGCTTAACTCGTTGCGAAGTGCCGTTTTCGCATCACGGCCATGAGTTCTTCAAGCTCCGGCGACGACGTTCCAGCGCCTCCGACCACCTCAGCCACTGGTGCAGCCAGACGAGTGACCGAGAGATGGGCAACGAACAGGCGGAGTCCAACCACTCGCACACGGCACACCGGGTCAAGTCAAATCGCAGGCCCGTCTACCCGTGTCGATACCCCCATCGACTCCCCGTCTAGGCCACCAATACCTGTAAACAACAAAACTAATCCAACCCTTATTTTTTTTTTTACTGTTTATGGTGATATAAGTAATAATTATATAGATTAAATTTAAACAAAAATAGTTCTTTGTACTTCATTTCAAGAGAAGAATATATTTATATATGAAGTTTTATTGTATAATTATTGGATTTCATACTATTTTGTCTTATCCAGTAAATGAACATAGAAAAAATTATATAAATATTTTTCCTTAATTTCGTTTAAATTACATTCATCATCTGAATATAATACAATAAATGTCCCAAATTGCTATGACTTATAAAGTGACTTAATAGAATTTTAATTAAAGTATAATTATATTTCTAGAATTATAGATTCCTAAGAAATCATATTCCCGATTCCAATATACTCAAGCTGAATTTATTAGTGCTGTTTCTTATATAGAAAATAAAGAGAAAACATTAAATGAAGTACACTTAGAAACAGGTACTGAATACTAAACAAGTATTCCCATGTCTACATTAATCACTAAAACAAATAAGAAAGTACCTATGAATCGGAAAATGGGTCCTCCAACTGTCCTATCGTCATCAGATAGTGAGGAAAATAGGATTGCAAATGGATATTAGCTAAGGCAAGAGTAGGATTTCTAATACACCCAGAAACATTAAAAGATTTAATTCAAAAAATATTAAAGGAGTAAAATAAACCTAATCCTTTCAGAGATGATCGTACTGGTAAAAAGTGGTTAAGTTTATTTCTTAAAAGATATCAAAACATAACAAAACGAAAAACTGATTTGAGACTAAAATATAGGGTTGCAGTTACCGAAACTTCTATTAGATATTGGTTTAGTGATGTTTTATTATACTTAAAAGAAGAAGATAGTTTAGATATACTGAAAGATTGATAATTGCGATGAGACTGGATTACAATTATGCCCTAAATCTGGGATATTATTACTCCCGAAAAGTATGCCTAATTTTTATGAAATTGCAAAGAGTGGTAAAAAAGAAAATATCACCGTTCTTTGCACATACTCTGTAGATGGTTGGTCATTACCTCCTCTTATTATTTACCCTTACAAAATAATTCCCTCTCATATTTCTCAGACAGTGCCAGGACAGTGGGTGGATGGCAAAATTTTTTGAATATATTGTCAATGTTTTGTATCGTTGGTTAATTAATAAAAAAGTTGACTTTCCAGTTATTATTTATTTAAGTGGTCATAAAAGTTATTTGAACTTAGAATTGGTTGAATTTTGTTCGGAAAAAACATGCATTTATACTGCCTTCCTCCTAATGCTACACATATCCTACAACCCTGTGGTGTGTCTATATTTAAACCATTTAAGAGGTATTGGAAAGATGTAACAAAAAAACACAGTAACGTATGTTACATAATTACGTTTATTTTATAAGCATCATAATATGCACAATAGGCATATTATGCGCTGACTAAAATATACTAAGCCCCTCCTATTTAGGTGCCACTTATATATTTTATGATTGTGAGACTCCGGCCAATATCACTATGTAAGAGAAAGGTAGTTCTCCACGAGTCCATCACGTGCACCTGACCTCCGTACAATCCAACACTTTTGGTAACTTTGTTCGTAAATTGTAAGTTATAATAAATAATTTGTTTGTATTGATAATAATTTAGATCAATCGTTATATATTTGTAATATTAAGATCCTAATACCATTCGTTTTCCCGAGCTAAGATTAAAATATATTCAAAAGAACTAATTTCTTCCCTGAATATCTTATATTTAACGGGTCATCCCCGAAAACGTTACAACACTATTTAAATTATAATAGTTTAATATCAAAAAATACTTTTGGAATTTGATTTCAAAAAGAGTTTGAAAAATTTAAATCTGAGTCAATAATTAATAGTTTTATAGCATGTGGGCTTTTCCCACTAAATTCTGATGCTGTTGACTATCAAAAGTGGATTCCAATTAGACAAGCTGAAATAGGCAAAGCAGAAACACTTTAAATATCAACAACTCCAACTAAGGAAGATATACAGATTGAAAAAGAAAATCTGAAGAAGGAAAAGTCTTACTGAAGAAAAACGCAATGAACGAATACTAAAAAAAATTGAGATTGAAAACATAAAAATAGTTATTTAATGCCACTGGAAAAACTACCAACAAATTACGAAAAACAACTAAAAATTGAATTTTAATTTCTAAAGCTTTGTATGTATCACCATAGTAACGAATAAAAAAAATAATATTATATTAATTCAACTTATAGTCTATAATAAATAATTACAATATCAAAAATCCAGACTTGCAAACCGTCTTATTGTTTTCTTATACAATCCACAAAAGTATGGTGGATTGTATTAAATATAGTGACTACACATTGACCCACTTGTAACCTACTGAACAGCAGAGCGACATCCACCCGCTTTTTTTAATTATCATTTACCATGATAAAAGTTGTTAAATCGACTATATTTTATGTATTATAAATATTACTTTCCGAATTGCAGCAGTACATTATCAGGTAGGCAATCTACCTGCGGTAGATCGCGGACCTCGTGCTGTTTGTACGTAAGTGTATGGCTTAACTCTAAAGTATCAAAGTTAAACCAAGTTTGTCGTTTTTACTTAATTCCACCAACGGTTGATTAAAATAATCAATTTATATAATCCTATTAAATATAATTTATATTAATTAAATAGTAAAGCAAATATTTTTTTCTTTATTATATTTATAATTATTATTATTATAATAGATTAAAAACCCATGGCAACTATTTATAAACGAAAATGTCCATCTAAAATCTCAAAATTCCCGTTTGAGCACCTCCCAGGGTTGGTTCTCTCCCTTTTTAAATTAGCCTATGTTGTAAGTTGGACCAGAATACACACAGTGTAAAAATGTTATCAAGATCGGTCCAGTAGATTTTACTTGAAAGAGTAACTAAGTCACAAACTTTCACATTTATAATATAAAGTAGGGTATACAATGATATTATATTTGGGCAACTATCAATTTTATATTACCTAGGTAATCTAATGAATTTATTAATAAGAGTTACCTATATTTCAAAACATAGTTACATTTTCAACAAAAATGTTGTTTGTTCATTCACTGGGTATTAGATGTTCATTCACAGGATCAATGCGTTCATTCACTAGGAAATGTTGTTTTTTTTGGTTTATTAATTTTTAATTATTTATTGATAACTAATTTAAAATAAATATTAAAATATTCTAGCACAGAATTTTTCAATGAATGCAAAATAAATTTTAAATCAGCTGGACCGAAAATTATCGTCAGTTGCATATATAGGTATAAAGGGGCAACGGCCCAAATAAACTTAAAGTTATAAGCCAACAAAAGTATGAATAATTAAACAAATTAATAACACAACACGTCATGAACTTAAACTTAATATACCGGGGTGTGTCATTGTAAGAGAGGTTTTGTAATAGTTATGGATCGATGATGAGGGATTTCGAAAAAATCCAAAAAAAATGTTTTTTATTTTTAATATGAAATTTTTTTATAACAAAATCAACTTTATTTTTCAAATAGTAACAACAATATTTTTTTATGGATTCTGAATAAGCTTTTTGTTCTGCAAATGTTTATAGTCAATTCACAATTTATTTTGGTTCGCTGGTTTGTTAACAACGGTCCTATTTAGTTTTATTTTTACTAATTACTATTTGCATTAATAATTTTAATTGAAATAATTGGTATCAATTTACTATAAAAGAGCTAAATATTTTTTTAAAATTATATTTTAATGCAATTTCATATCTTTCTATACACTTAAATCGGACACTAGCACACACACACACGCACACACACACCAGTGGCATAGAAAATTGGGTGACCCCTCCATTGGCTTTTTATTACCTTGGTAAAAAGTTTTGAGAGAGTGGAGGATATTCCAATTTTTCCCTCCCATTTAGAGTTGCCGCTTTCTATTTTTGATCCCCCACTGTGACGCGAAATTGATAAGTTCATCTGCGATAACTTATTTGACATTAAAGACAAAAATCAATTGGTGTCAAGTCTGGTTATCTGGGGTCACCGCTTCGCAAATCCACTTGCCTGGATATTAGTGTTTGTTCCATTTCTAGCAAGGATCACTTCCCCATCCGAAAACTTACTAAAAAATGAAAATTGCAACTTTATTTCGACTACTTATAATACTGTAGCCGAATTTTAACCCCCTTATAAAATATACAATCCCCAAAATCACACATTATTATATTATTACAAATAGTAAGTAAGCGGAGCAAGAAATTATAGAATAATCAACAGTGCTATGTAATTATTTCCCTCCAACTCCCTTCTGCAACCGTCTACGCCACTACACCACCGTGTAGTGAGCTGTGACACCATATTGTTAAAAAATGATTTTTTCTTCCTCAAACTCAATAAGGTTGTCATTATTTTCAATTGTCCACAAAGATGACCATCTCAAGAATTCCCAATTAAAAAAGAAAATTTAAAAAATTTAAAACAATAACAAAAATGTTTCAAAAGTTATGAATTATAATGCATTCTTAATGATGGATAATAAGGATTTAATAAAAATAATAAAAATATCAGTATTATTAAGTGTGTTTATACCACGATGTAGATAATACTGAGTAGTCACTTCCTGTTTGATTAAGACATTTTTAGTCGTATTTTAACAGCATTTGATGGGGGAATTATCCTCCAGGAGTGCCAAGAAGGTCGATTCTTTAAATAATTCTATGTAGTGGTATACGCATTAAAACTTTAGAAACGAATGTAGTTTACTTCACAAAAGAAGTTTTTTTGGGGGGAATGTTAGTATTTTTATGCTCACGTGTGGTGAAATCAGAATTTCCCTACCTTACTTAGAATTTTTAATGATGCTAAAATAAGAACTTTAAGTGCTTGGTCATGGCCATCCGGAGAAGTTGTGGATTTAAAAAGAATACGCTTAGATTTCATCAACATTTTTTAGAAACATACGAAGTTTTTTTTAGTATGTTTCTACCTTAAACTATTGTGTATTGTGTAACATAAATTATGTTAGTAAGCATTTTTATATTATGGAATGGAATTACTTAAAACCACTTGCAACTATAAGTGAACATACTACCGATGAAGAATTAAGTAATTGTCATGGCTTAATATGCTCAGATTTTGAATTTGTTGAATTTGTAACTTCTTACAAAGAAGTATCATGTGTTCAGAAATTAAAAACGGAAGAAGATTAAGAAAAAGCCTTAAAAACTATTGAAGAGAATGAAAATAAAGAAAAAAACAGGGACAAGGAAGTAATTACAGTAGAAAATGAAGAAAATTACAATACTGAGGATGCTTTAAACTCTAGAAAACTTTCAATCACACAAAAAGAAATGAATATGTACATAATTTAGAAATACAAGAAAATAAAATGAGATCTATCTCTGAAAGAAGGTTTTGTGAAAAAAACATTGGAGAATCGGTAAAAATAAAAATCCCAGACGTAGATAGAGCTTGAAGCGATTTACGATATATTTTAGCAGAAATTATGTCAGGTATTATAATCAATAACATTTTCATTATTATTTATTACTAAATATTTTTATTTCTAAATTAAATTTTTTCATAGTGGAAGATGGAAATTATAAATTAGGCACAACCAAAGGTAAACTATAACATTATTACAGTAGAAATCAATTTAATATTTGCAAGGAGAAGTTTGTAAGGGTTAATGAAGTACCCGATATTCAGTTGTCACTAAGAGAAGTACCTAGGACCACGGCCAAGTTAACAGCGACTTCCACAGATGCAGCGACGGACACACCGTGCTGGTGGGAAACTCCGCCCTAACGTCGGCAGTTAACGAGAGACAGATCCAGAGCCAGGGGCCGGTGCGCAGCACTAAAAAGATAGTGCCGCCGAGGGAGCAGCGTAATCCGACAACCTTGGTCCAGGCCGGAATGGATCCGGAATTCAAGGTTGTGGAAAGCAGGAAATCAAAGAGAAATAGAAAGAGAGCTAAAGAAGATCTCCCTGAAAACCCATCAGCAGCCTTCCCGACGGATTGTCTCAAACAAAGACTCAGTAAAAGTACTCAGTCAGTTGTCATTGAAAAGCCGACGGATATTTCATGTGCCGACGTTGGCAGGGAGGTGAAACAAACCGCTCGGGATGAATAACTGACATTTTATATCACGGCCAGAAGGGCCAAGTCTGGTAACCTCGTCCTGAAGACCAAGGATAAAGAACATGCCGATGACCTCGCCGCGGCTCTCAAGCGTCGATTCGGAGAAACAAGGACAACTTTTCGCCTGTAACCCAGTGTCGCTCTGCAGCTCATTGGCATCGAAGATTCGGTTGACGAAAGTGAGCCAAGAAGCAATCTCGAGGCACATGACCCCGGCCTGAAGCCGCTGAACAATGTTAAGAACAGGGAAGGTTCCCACAGAACCAGGACAGCCATCATTAGGGTTCCTCTCAAGCCAGGCCTCAATTTAGTCCATTTCAAGAAGCTTAAGGCTGGATGGGCCTTTTGCCGCATTAAGGAATTGGTCACCAATAGCCAAGGCTGTTAAGGTGCCTTGCTGGCGGGCATGCTACCGTCGACTGCACTGGCCAAGAGAGGAGGAAGTGTTTCAGATGTAAAGAAATCGGGCATCTTGTAGTTTTCTGAGGGACAAGCCAAAGTCTCTGAGCCTAACCAGAAACAAAAATGACGAAGATCCATCAAGTAAGGAGTTCGGCCGGCGGCGCAACACCTCTTTATTGGGCAGCATTGATCTGGGGCGCATACGTCATAGTGATCTGTGAACAGAATCAAGTGCCCTCACCTACCTCACCTACCTGAGTCATAAGCTGGCAGAGAGAGTGGACGGAGTGCTTAACTGGAAATGGCAAATAGCAAATCAGGTTGATCCCCGATATTGGCGTTTGGTTATCACGTGGTTTGGGAGAGCTATGCTTCCACTGGAAGCCGGGTTATCCACTGGATTACCCGTATTCCACTCCTGGAATACGGGTAATTTTCAGAGTACCTGTGTCGGTTCAAAATCCAGGAATCGGACCCGTTTGAACAGTGTGGGCACTCGTTCTTCTACTGCGTTGCGTGGGAAAATTGGAGAAGGCAAGCCTTCGCTGAGTTGGAGATTGACGTTCTAACGCTAGAAAACCTTGTGAACAACACGCTGATGTCACGGACTAGCTGGACTACCATAACCAGGCTAATATCAAGCATAATTCGGATGAGGGAAGACGAAGACAGGACTAGACAGGGCCAACCAAGGAGGAGATGACAATAGAAAATATCATTTTTTAATTTTTAGTAACGACTGTGGACCAAAGTCCAATTTATTCGGAGGCAATATCCTCCAATTATTGTTAAATAATTATATTGTAATGTGTATTGTTTATTTTGAAAAATAAATGATGGCGACACCCTCTTTCCCCTAATTCCAGTGGAAAGTATCAGGGAGAAATAAGGTTCAGAAGCGCCACTTCAGCTAAATTTTGTTTCGCTAAACGTTCTTGGATAAAAAAAAAAGGTTGATTAGGTTCACGATGAAGAACGGTCAGCTTTCACCCCGAATTTCGTTAGCGAAACGTCGGAGATGTCATCGACAACGTTCTTCATCCCCCCCCCACCTATGACACTACGGGAGGGATTAGACCAAACCGGAAGCGGAATCAACGAACTCAACTACCAGGGCGGCGGACTACGAAGAGGACACTTAAGTACGAGAATCCAGAGCGGCGGACTCCAGTCGGCTCTAGAAATCACCGAACACCAATGTAAATGTAATGTAACGTAAAATGTAGTGACCTTTGTGAGGGGGCTAAGTGGGGTATTGTCCCGCCTAACCCTCATTTTGGCCATCGGCCGTTGTGTTGTGATTTATCAATAAACGATGGCGGAGTCGCGGAAAAATGCAAAAACAGTCCCCGCAGCGTCATCGGTTTCAAACTGGAAAAAATAAAGTTAGGTTAGGTGCTAAAGTCAATTGATTTATGTCCCAATTTTGGAGACACCCCCTCCCCCCCTGAGACACTCTACTAATCAGCCGATTTTCTATCGTATTCAGCAGACCCGATTTTATTAGCTATAAAAATGTCAAGGAAGCTAAAATGGGTGAGGTCATCGAGGTCAATCATCGGGTCAGTGTCAAGCTCCTAGACTATTATTAACTTGTCGTCACCTAATATAATATGTATTTAGTAAAAATTACAACAATTTAATGTATAAAATATAATATATGCTACATTTTTTTTTGCCCATCAACTTGAGTGTTTTATTGTATCTATAAAAGCGAAGCCTATATAACTGTGGTGAGGGAGCAGAGCCTTGACTCAGGTATCCATAACTTACCACTTGCTTGATCCTCTCGGCCCTGTACGATATAAACACGATTCGGAACGAGACGCATGACAACTGACACGCTAACGCTATGTTCCAGCATATACCACCGGTTTGGTTGTCACGGACTACAGTTCCGTCTTGGTCATTTGCGGCGTATGACGCGTACACTGAAATGAGCGTGACGTACGCGTACACGACGAAGAACAGCATGCTGGCGGTCAGGTTAATGGCCAGATCGAGACCGTAACATGTAGACAGGCCATCAACCAGCTGACAACCACGCCAATGATCACGCCACGCAGCCTCCAGCTGCCAATGCATCGGCCGTCGGCCACATCGACGAGTTGCAGCTGGTGGTCGAGCTGCGTCTGAAGCCATCTTTTGTAACCGGCGGGCGACGTCATGGCATGTGTCCTCTGCGGCCGTGCACACACAAACGATCCCGCACTCGACAACAATCGGCACGGTAGCAGCGGGTAGGCACAGCAGTAATACGTCGAGGATCGAGAATCTGTTGGGTCGGGCCACCACCACGGCCACCGATCTGGCTAACACGACTGCAACGGCCACGGTGGCAAAAGCGCCAGCCACGGAGAACGCACGCTGAAATCGTCCGCCTATCACACGTTCGTTCGTGTTACGGCTCAGCACGTTGTACGCATAGTTCAGCAGATGTGCCGTACTCGAACGCCGGTGCACGGCCGCCGTAGCCACTGACACCATCGCTTGCGCTGCACTAGCGGTGGATACAATCCACTCGACGTCCGATGAACATGAGGCGGCGTCGCTGCAAGTCCAATCGCTTACCAGCGATGCGCACCGACGCACTGTCCAATAGAACAACAGTATCATAAGGGCACTACACGCCAGCCACCGTCTGTCCGGCGTGAACACACCATCCAACTTTTGAACACGACTGCCATCTGCTTTATCCAGAATACAAAACGTAATGTGACATTAGTATCTACTAACATTGAGTATGTTATATGAGTAGTATGCTACAAACTTTGGTAATTATACTTCTAACGTTGGTTCAGTGCGGACGTGTTTTTATGAGTAGTTGCTTATCTGTTTTCTCTTTGCGTTTATAATTGTATTAATTGGCCAGTGAGTTAAGTATCGTTTACCTGTATATTCCTTAGGTATATGTATACCTATCACTATACATTGTAATAATATTAAAGAGGAAATACTGTGTGACATCTGTAACGACTATATTTTTGACAGTGATGATATTAAATGTTCAAAGTGTAATGGATTTTTGCATTTCGCGTGTGCTGGCCTTAGAGAGGCCCATTTTTGGAAAATGTCAAATAATGCCAAACCAAGTCGGTGTTGTAATAAATGCAAAGTTCGTGAACCTAACAGGAAAACACAGAATATTAAGAATGCCACAGTTATGAAAAATATCGAACCACACATTTCTACTAGTGAGGATATTAAAAGCTTAATAGAATCAGTCAATTTTATGGGCGATAAATTTGACAGCTTTGAAAAAAAATTGCAAGAAATGGTACCGTCAACACGGGTGAAATGGAATTTGTGTTTAACTTGGAATATTGTGACTTATCTTTATTGAATTTGATAGAACTCAGTGAATTATTATTACATATCGTTTATCTTTCTATGATATTTTACCTTGTCACATTTCCAATCAGAAATGCTTAACAGACTTTTTGATATTTCTTATCATTAAACAAAAATTATTGTTACAAACTGTTATCATATAGGTAAGGACATTTTTTGAAGACCGAAATTAAGTCAACCAACTAATGGTGTACACAACAATTATTCCAGGTGTGCATATTTTTTAATTGATGTACTACAGTTTAATAACAAAATAGTCTAAGCGCCATTTAAAAATATTCATAATCTGAATTTTGATGAATGGATTTTTTTTTTATTATTATTATTTATTATTTATTCCTATATAAATTTTAAAGTTATGTTTTTTTTTTTATGTTGTAAAGCAGATGCTTATTATGTTTATATTTTTAAGTTTAACCTGTTTTTGTTTAGTAAAAAAATGTTTCTTTTTATTATGTTCCTATACAACAATGTTGAAATAAAGTAAAAAATTATGTTTAGTTAAAGAAAATGTGTTTTATTTTTTTTTTATTATGATATTATTATGATAATATGTACAAAAAGGTTTTTGGTGTTCCAAGTAAGACTTATCATAGGTAAGATGCAAAATACATTTAAAAAACATTACTGTTGCATGTCACCCAAAAATGAAAGTGAATTGGAACACCCAATTTATTTTTTATATTTTAACTAAGTTATGGTCAAACTTCCTTTATTTTTTATCAAATGTACTCATTTTTACTGTGCGCCTACACCAGACGATTTTAAAAACAAATATTAAAGTTGTAGGAACCTGGAAAAGTTCAAAATCGTTTCATTTCACCCGTGTTGACGGTAACAGTTATTAAAGACATCAAAGGAGAAAATTAATTCTTAAAAGAGCAAACTATTAAATTAAAATATAAAGTTACAACTCTAGATACAATTTTGAATGTATTGGAACAAAAAGCAATAGAAAATGTCGTTGAAATTGCAGGTGTTCCGGAAGTAAATAATGAAGAGCGCATAAAAACAGTGGACTCAATCGCTGAGTCTTTAGGAATGAAAGTAAATATACTAAAAGCTAAATAATGGCAGAAGTACAGACATACCAGAGCAAAAGATCTATAATAGACAGTGTAAGGAAGCTGAAATTAACGGTAAATCTGGAAATACTAATTGGAGTGATGATAAGATTCATATGAATGACAGTTTAACTCAATTTAATAGAAATCTATTCTTCAAAGCTAGAGTTGTTGCTCGTGAAATGGGCTATAAATATGTTTAGTTTAAGGACTCTAAGTTGTTAATAAAAAAAAATGAAAGTACCAAAGCCATAATAATTGATAACGACTTTGCTTTATCTAAACTTACTTAACTTACCCCATTAATTATTATATACTATTAACTATATTATGATCCTTAATTTATATGGAAAACTATCTTAATATAAGACGTTATCTTAGCTATAAGACTAATTATTTTAAATCTTTTTCAGAATTTTTATTATGAAAAATAATTCAAATATCAATAATGTAAATATTTTATGTTGTAATATCAGAAGTGTTAGCTCAAATTATGATGAATTAATTTTATCTTTAGAAAATGAGATAGATAGTAAA